GCTATCGATCAAAGTTCGGCCGTGTCCGGCCCGGTCAAACATGTCCGGTAGGTATTGTGAGTATACGGCGGTCGTAGTTGGAGAAAATCCAGTAAATACATAATTTATGTGACAGACAGCGAGTTGGTTGATAAGATAATATTTTCTACAAACCAATTAATTGCACCATAAGGGGGCCAAATATCAAAGAATTATTACAAAATAATTCTATAAAAGCTGAACTATTACCAAAAGTACCGACCATAACATAATTAAATTCATAAAATAAACATATTTTTAGACTCAATGCAATAATAGTATGAATGATATTTATAAGAAATGTATTACAACTGAACCTTCTGCAGTATTTTCGTTAGATGTGCAAACGTTCGGTGGTTGATTGATTTGTTAAGTAAAAGGTTATTTCTAGGTCAGTACGGTGGTCTTGGTATCGCTTTATCATGAAGGGGAATGTAGGATAATATCCACTCCATTGTAAGTTAAACAAAATCTCACTCATTTAATTCATAATTTATACTCTATTAAATATTATTGAGATATACTCGTAAAAAAAAGTAGGACCAAAATAGAATTTTTCTGAAGCACAAGGTATTATCATATTCATTATAATTGTATTATCGACTTGTCGAGCTCAAAGAAAAGAATCATGTCTGAGGAGTCTCAACCAACCATAAGTAACTAAATCAGGAACTATACATACATAAATTATACATTAATCAATTAAACAAAATCTTACAAATATTTGACTACAATAAACAAAAAACTATCGGATAACATGATGAACAAGATTAATAAGGAAAATTCCTGAAATTCCGAATACCTTTTCGCCCCGCGGCCGCTTAGGCCACATCTGTCGATTACGAAGCAACTATGTCAAAAATTTCACCCAAGCAAGACATAACTAGAAAAACTTAGGCCGAGGGGTATGAGGAAAGGGCGGTAAGGGAGGATAACCGCATCTTCTACTGAAGGAATATCAGACTGAAGAAATATGAGGTCATTTGACTATACTTATAAAGCTAAAGAATTAGTTTAAAGGTGGTAATCTCAGCAACTAGTGAACCAATTTGAAAAAAAAAATGTGTTGTATTGATACGCCTTCTTTGAAAAGTAAGTTTTTCAAGGAAGCTTATTTGTCGATGTAACATCACGTTACGACTATTTTAGGGACTGGGCTGTATTTTATTACAAAAATAAAAATTTTAAAGTGTTTTTTAATTTTCGGTGTTGTGGTGGTGGCCCGGAGGTTAAGGCTCTCACTTCTCATGCATGAGGGTGTGGGTTCGAAACCTGGCAAGTACCAATGTGACTTTTTCCGAGTTTAATGTACTTTCTATGATATTTAGACCCCACTGACATACGGTGAAATCTGGACTTATAATTTCTGATTATAAGTTTGAAATCTCCAACCCGCATTGAGAAAGCGTGGTGATTAATGCTCTAACCTTCTCCGTGTGAGAAGAGGCCTTTGCTCAGCAGTGGGCACTTCTAGGCTAATGATGATGATGAATTTAAATTGCACTTAAAAGACAACTAATACAGGATGTTTTTTTAAACAAAAAATTTGTTGTCTTTCAATAATTACAATCGATCTGTAAGTAGCCTCTTAAGAATAAACAAAGTAAATCAAATTTAAAATTAAAATTAACCCCCAAAACATGAGGACCTAGCTATGAGGGTGAGTTACCCTTAGAGCAGCAATTTGAGGTATGCACTTGATAATTTTGATTAGACACGTTCGTGGCTTAGATAAATGCTATGTTTATACTATGGGGGTAAGTAAAAGGGTTTTAAAGGGACGCATATGTGTAGTCTGATTCGTAGATGTACCTAAAAGCGGTTATCGGCTTAAGTACCCTTCACTTTGTGTTAAATAAATAACTTGGTTCGTCTTGCGATCCTTACATTACCTTACCTTTGGAGACCAAACGTGAAGTAGATAGGTGTTTAAGAACCTAACTATATATTTATAATGAAAGTCCCATTATAATAAATTATAAATTATCACCTTATTATTAAAAAAAGACCTACTTTCTAATAAATGATAGAACATAAAATAATCGGTCAAAAACTTTACTTATATTTAAGTGATCAGTTTTGCCCAAAGACACCCACGTTACTGTAGACGACGTATCTATCTACTATATAGTAAAACCTTTTTTCGAAGTATCAAGGGTTTTATACATTGCAAATAGAAATACTCTAATATATTACAACTTTCATCTTAATAGGCAGCATTCACGATTCAAAATAACCGATAACAACAAGATTAAACGCAGGTCCCATCGGATTACAATAATTTACGATTTCGTCCTACGACCGTACCTAGGATAGTGAGGGGCAATAAATTATTCCAAACTTAAAGTTCGTATACGGTTCTATTATTTATTTAAGGTCGAACTGCGGATAGTTTCGAAGCAACTTTCGTCACTTCCGCACAACTGGGAGGCGCGGTTGTATTTTCTTGTTGTGACTCGCTTCTTATTTAGTTCAGAGTTTCGGATAAACCGCTGCGAATACGATTGACTCGGTGTCAAAGTTTTTTAGCCAAGTCAAGGACCGACTGTTTTATATTTGTTTTTGCAATGAATTTCAGATTGAGGGGTACATCTTCCGTTTGATTTTTATTCGAGACGTTTTTAATGTTGTCTGGAGACTTCGTCTTGTTTTAGTGTTTTTTAATGTAAATAAAAAATATATCTTTAGACTGCTTACTAAATAAATTTATTGCTATTTCTAATTCATCAATTCTGCATACTAAAAGTTAAGCAAACAAAAATATCAACCCTTCAGACAAACTTAGAAGTTTCAACAACTTGTAATGAAACAGCAACACCTAACGAGAGTGGCGTCGAAAATGAAAAAATAACACTTCTTCAACAGGGACAACATGATAAAGAAACAAAATACTGAACAAATATTATTATTTCTCCTATCTTAAGTTGGCAGCCCTCACCTGCGCGTTCCGATCAAAACGCAAGCATTTCGAGAATCAATCGAGAGAGAGAAAAAACCTCTCGATAATATAATGGAATCGAATTATCACTGAGATGAAGACGAGACGGCAATAGGGCTGTCTAAACAGACGTATCTCGCTCTTCTATTTTTGTTCCATTCCGCTGCGGATTAGTCGGATATTTTTTCAAGTTGCGGATATGCGGTGCGCTTTATGCGTCACTAGCGTCGTAGAGAGCTTATTTATTTACTTATGCAGGAGTTGTCCTTAAGGGCAGTTGAAGTTTCCATGAACTTTTTTGGTTAATATAGTAAAAATACGACAAGAGGTGTGGCGAGGAAAACTTCTTAGCAGTATTGGTCATCAAGTATGTAAAGGACTTCTTTTTCCTGCCTCATTGCCAAATATCTTTGGACTTCGTATTGGGTATATTGGCATATTGTATTTCTTTTAAATTGTTTTGTCCTATTAAATAAATATCACTTTCTATTTAAGGAATATAAAATAAAGACCAGATAGTTAACAGATTACAGATTTTTAACATAAAATTCAAATTGTATACATTTATCTTCGGTTATGATAAACTTACTAGCTTTAACAGGTAAGCTACAGTTCACTGATCTTTCTGCCACCAATTAAATCATCGGCAGCCCTATAAAAAGGAGGAACGAGTATACAGGGTGAAACTCTGTAATTCCATTGTGTTCGATAACAATCGCGAGTATCGAATTGTATGTTTGTTCGCCCCTTCACGGGACGCTGTAACGAAGATTGTTATGGAACTTTTCTCTGCAGCAACAGGTCTCGCTGATGATGTTATTAATTCTTATTGACTGTTATCTCGATCTGTTTGTTGGCTCTCGGCCCGAGACAGATGTCTGTGTAGATTTATTGAACAATAAAACTGAATGAAGGAGTTTTCGAAATCCATGTAATATTATTATTGTAGTAGTAAATGTAAATAGAAAGTACAGACAAGGCAAGTATGAAGAAAATTAATTTTGGTTGAAAATAAAAATTAATACTATTATTGATTGCATTTAATCGTAATTTTTACGAAAACGACACTTAATTTTTTTTGTAACCAAAGTAACATCCTGTATGATGAAGATTGAAATTTTTTATTTTTTTTATAACCATTATATGTATTTGTGTCAGCGTTCCAAAGTATAAAATTTCGTTATACGAATTTATTGTCCACATAACAAAAAAATATTTTATTTCAAATAATCGCTTTAAATATACGGTTTCGTAATTCAATAATTTGCACGCAACATTCAATTGGATTACAGAAATATGTATACGAATCTGATACCAATGCGTTAATACGATTATAAATTATTTAAATTGTGTTATAAAATAGTTATTTAATATTATCAGGACAAATCTGTACAAACAATACTGTTTAACACATTGATTTCCTTATAATAAGGTTAGCGTATAATTTTATTAAACAAATGACTATTGTAAATATATAAATAAATTGTTGCTACGTTCCACTTTATTTTATATTTTTATATCATATTTTACAATAAAATAAAGAATTATTTATCTACTTTTAACATATTTTCAATTAAATATATAACTATGTTAACTTTCAGAAATAAACTGTGAATTGTGACAGTTGATGAGTTTAACTCTCACCAGTTGGCGCCACTGGGACATAAAATACATTTTCCTAATCACTTCAATTGATTGACATACCTAATCATGAGATTTATATTTAATATTCAGTTAGTGTTTATAATAACACAACTTCTTTTTAAAGCTGTTTAAACTTTACTAATAGTATAAACGCAAAAATGTTCGTGTATTTTTCTTTTAAAATGGAGAGTGTTAATGGTATTATTTTTGTATCTAGAATGTAGGCAATTTTCTGTTTCTACGCTAGACCGCGATATCGGAGCCTAGGACAAAAAGCTGGTACTCCTTACAAAAAATAGTTAAACACAGATAATAAAATTATACGCCAAAACCCTATAAGAAAAAACATGAAAAAGAAAAAAAAAGATAATAATCTATACATATAAATAGCAACACTTACCCCGCTCAATGTTTTGATATTGTGCAAAGCGTCTTGGGCTTTCAACGCCGCTTTGCGAGTGAAAAACGTCACAAAACAGCACCCTGTAACAAAAGCGCACACTTACATAACATGACATACACATGACGTATACAGGGGGTTGCCTACGACATACCGTACTTCAGACAAATTATTCACGAAAAAAAACCAAATATCAACGCAAAATCAAACGTGTTGTCTTCAGAGATCCTGGAGGAAAAGATATGCTCAATGTATTTTTTTTTTAATAATTTCATTTTTTAAATTTTGTGTCATGTCGCATGAAAGTAAAAAATTTTTTGAAACATCGAAACTTTTGAGAGAAATCTAAATTTTGAAAATTAAAATATCGAGTAATTAAAAGTAATTTTTCCGATCTGGGAATCGAACAGACGAACCCTTGCTTAGCCTTTTCGACCATTAGATAAACGAAGCAGAAGTAAATAAAAACTAAAAAACTTTATAACTTGTAAATAACCGAGGATTGTCTGAAGTACGATACATGAACAGAAACAATAAACATTAGATCAGTAAAGCTTACTAAAAACGGACAATTATCACTCATCGCAAGCTAAACAAACAATATCTAGATTATAACAATTATATTAAAGAACGTCACAAAACATTAGAATTATTAAAATGAGTTTTATTCACATGTAGTTAAGGTAGAAATTAGAGAAGAGTTATTTTAATGCACCTTGGTGAATTAAAGTATTATAAAATAATATTTTATAGAATTAATGTCAGAAAAATAATGAGAATTATTATTAGTTTCAAATTTTAAAACTAATAAAATTAAAATGTCGTTTTTCAAAAACGAATTTTATTAGAATGTGATTTAGGTAACAATTTAAACGCCATCGTTGCAACTACGTGTTTTCTAAAAGTGTCATTTAACTTAACGTCATTATCTTGCTTATCAGTGTACTTATGCTATTTCGATAAGATCTTCGTCTCCTTGTAATGAGATCAACGGAAATTTTAGATTAGACTGAATATTCCATTCAACGTGAACATTTAACATCAAAAAGAAAAGTTAGAAAGTTTACACTTAGGGTCATGTAAAAAGCAGTAGTATGAGATGAGGATTGAAAATGTAAAAAAAACAGCCTTAATACAATGCAATAAAGTTGAGTATACATTGAAAAACTTTCAAAATATAATAGGAATTTGATAACAAAACCTAATTACAATAATGGAAACGAATGCATTTAGCGACATCGTATTTTGCTGCAAGGTTTTAATTCTTTTGAATGATCGACAGGCCATTTACGTACGTCAGTCGAGACTAACATGCGGATGGCGTGTCGATACTAACGAGTTCGCGTTAGTAGCTTGTTAATTGTGACACGAACCACTATTTAAATATAAGGAACAAAGCGATAGTTTTATGATAGTAATAAAAAAATTAATTGTTGCATATTTGGAGCAGCGTTCGAAAGTGCTACTTTTAACTAATTTTTGTAAAGTTACTACGGTTTGGAGTGAAGTGTGTAGATCTCAATGAATAAATATTAAAAAATGTACACACTTCAATCCCTACAAGTAAATTAAATTGTAAACTTCTTTGAGAAACACAAGCACGAAACAATATTATGCGACGTGACGCCGACAAAACAATTTAAAAGGCAACATTAATTACGTGACGTCGTCAAAAAAATAAAAATGAAAACAACGCGGAAAGCATAATAGAAAAACAATAAAAAAAAACAACACTTTCAAAAAAAAAAAACAACCGTTCACCCGACGCTTCAATGCAAACCTTGTCCGCGGGGTACCTAACAAAAGAAGAGACAAGGTACTAGCGAAAAGGGGGGGTTTCCAACACAAAAGACTTTTAATATGGAACAAACAAAAATGTCAACATGTATTATAACATGCAGAGAGACCTGACCCTATTGTTGGTTACGAAACAATGACACGCAAAAACGGGACTACACTCTCAAAACGTATATATTGAACCATGTATTAAAATTTTCTCCTCGTTTTTCACTCGATTTACATGCCCATGAATGCATGGATAGAAGGTACTTAACATTTGGAAATAACGTCATATATCTATTGTTTGAAAAATCCCAAAAAGTGCCTTGTAAAGTCGTGTGGATTTCGTGATGGATTTATGGTAGTCAATAAGTACCATGCTTTGTTTTGGTTATTTAACATTTTGAAAAAACAGTACACGAGTAATTTTGCAGACCATGTTCGACTGCAGCGCCATCTACTGTGCAAAATTATTACGTAATGCACAGGTTATCAAACATCGATTGAGCCCTTTAGGTCTTAGTGATTTATCACGTAGAGGACGTTTAAAAGCACTAATTATAAATACAAAGATCAATTTAAAGGAATTATCACAAAGAATAATTTCTTCTTTGCCTAAATAAACTTTACTTTTGTTCGATGTAACAAAGTGTCAGCCAATCTAAAATTACACAATGAAGATTGACAGTTTCTTAAGTTCGATAATTACAAAAGTACAAAGAAGTTTCCGATTTTAAATGCCTACAGACAATTTCAAACAAAAGTTGAGGATTTTAAGCAACCAGCATTGTCGATTATTTAGAAACCGGAATTTACATTTAACTCTAAGAATTAAATAACATTTTACACTAAGAATATTCTTAGTGTCTCTTTTACCACCTTCGTATAGGTACGCATACCCGATAAATTTAAGTTGCACATAGTATATATACGTTTTAGGTACTTATCTATGTAGACAATGTACAACAGGTCGAAAATATATCGCATAAAGTGCTTAGCAACATTTGTAAAATCGATTTAAAATAGTCAACGATTTCTTACGTTGGCGATTAGGCCGCTTTACTAAATTTTATTTTTGCTTTGATGTAATGCACAATAATTTATCATCGAATTAATAATACTTGTAGACGAACAAGTAAACGAGTCATCTAATGATAAATGACCACAGCCAACTCCGTACACCTGCATCACCAGAGGTGTCATAAGTGCATTGCTGGTCTTTTATTTATTATTCAAAAAAAGGTTTTTTTTATTTCGTAATGGGCAGGCATTTGGCAGACTTATTACGCCTGGTGGTAAGCGATCATGCGACCAATGATGGCCATCGCCTACCTATAAGTAACCTATTTACTCGGACCTTGAAAACACCCTTCGGGGAACACACTTTTCGATTTTCCTGCTTCGTGGGTGTGTTTACTGAATCATGCACCTAGACCCGGAACAACAATGTAAAGCTATTTATTGCCCAGTTATCACTCAGCCAGGCATTCAGCCTTTCCTATTCATATTGCTATAAATAGAATTCCAATCATAAATTTCATCATATCACCAATAAAGCCCTTACTATTGACATCACAGTTCCAATTTTGAAACAAAGAGACAGCAATTGTCGAACCTGATCATTCGAAAATGCTTGACATTAATACAATTGTAATTTACCAAATTACTAATTATAATTATTACTGTAAGCACATGTCTATTTTAGGCACCACTTAGGATATAATTTTAGAAGTGCGACGTTCTCGAAATACGATTTTATTTGTTACACAAATAGGTATAATTTCCTATGAAATACTTATGAAGAATTCTCCCAAACTGAATATTGCTATTCTATTGTAGTGAATGATTGTTGTATCGAGAGAATAATTGTATTACTGAAAAATAAAATTAGTTTCAGGATTTACAAAAGAAGAAACGTGCAGGCTAAAAATAGTCAAAATTATTTTAAAACTCCTACGTATATTTTATTTTGATTTGTATTCCGATCTTTTATTAATATGATCTGACAATGTATAGCATTATTAGTGAGTGAAGTTATTGTCCCAACCAAAAATATCTCATATTTGAATAATGTTGACACATCTTTTCTGATTGTAATGAAATACTGAAACGACTAAGTTTCGTTTCACAGACTAGTACTGATACTCAACACTAAAAAATTACAGCCATGGTAGCTATATATAGTACTCTCTCACTTTTCTTAGTTAAATAAAATATGTGATAAATAAATGAAAAAAGACACAAACCTTTGCTGGCTCCAGTTATCTTATCACGTAGCACGTTGATCTGGTGCACCCTACCGAATTCCTCGAACATTTGACGGAGGTCGTTCTCATCCATGCTCCTTGGCACCTGACCCACGAACATCTGAAAAATTGGCAAATGAGGTGCGTTACAAAAAAAGTTCTTATGGAAAATTAATCAACAAGTTCCTTTTGACAAACAGCATTGTAATATATAAAAAAGAAAAGTCGTTGTGGCCCGGAGGTTAAGGAGCCCGCTTCTCATGCATGAGGGTGTGGGTTCGAAACCTGGCAAGTACCAATGTGACTTTTTCCGAGTTATATGTACTTTCTATGATTACTTAGACACCACTGGCATACGGTGAAGGAAAACATAGTGAGGAAACCTGGACTTATAATCTCTAATTATAAGTTTGAAATCGCCGACCCGCATTGAGCAAGCATGGTGATTAATGCTCTAGCCTTCTCCGTATGAGAAGAGGCCTTTGCTCAGCAGTGGGCACTTATAGGCTGATGATGATGATGATTGTAATATATACATATATACACAGATATCGCAACAGCACAATTAAAATAAGAGATTATCTCTGACCAAGAACAAATAAGTCAATTGACTTTATGTGTGTAAGTTCTGTTTACTGATTTGTAGTTCACATAAAAACAGATGGATTCAATGATTGTGGTTCAAAGACAAAGTCAAAATTATTTATTCCAACTATGGTTTAGTTAGAACAAATGATTACGACTAAATAGGTACTTTTGAAACCTCAGAATATTATAAGTTTGTCAGTTTGTTCGTGAGTGAAGCTAGCTAGCTAGGTATAGAAATAGATATAGAAACTTATTTATACATAAATGTTCTACGCCTAAATAAATATTCTTCTATACAGGCCTACGACCTTCTACGACCATAGTTCAGTGCCATATTCAAAATCTTATCACTAACCTAAACTTTAGCCACTTAACTTAGCCAAAAAGGTCTGAAGGCATTGAACTGCTTATTGTTATCAAATTACAAATAGAGAAACTATTTTTGAATCCAAAGTCACTAGTCTAATTGTAATCCAAAATCTTGTTCTGTGACATTGTGTCGGTGATTTTTTAGATTAATGTCTTCAGCAGGTTATGGACAAGCTCTTTTTGCTCTACGATTATGAATTTAATTACCTTATTTTGAAGCATTAATGACATGTACTAAAATAATAAAAAAAAACAACTGCAATAGAACTTGTGACAACTAAGGTAGGCGAGGCTGGGGTATGTTTTAATGTACCAATATTTTTTGCTATCCCCGTCAAATATCGAGAAACTTATTAAACAAATCATTAATGTATAATAGCAATATAAGACCCATTTCGATCTCTTTCTTCGCTCAATGACTATTGCGGGCTTTGAAAGGAACCTAGGTTATTGTAGGCATTGTATTGTGGAGTTGTATACAGTACAACTGAAAGTGTACTTCATAACATAACTTCTGTTTTATTCAGGTCGGTCACTCGAAGTAAAGCCCACTTCGAGAACCATTGTCTGCTTCAATGGACTAAAAAAGTATAGAAGCTTTATTAGGAATTCTCCGATACCTTTCTTTATAGATGACTAGAAAATAGGATCATAATATCAGTGTTTATTTTCCTTTTAAAGGTATTGCTTTTTGCGGTGGAGGATTCTGATTTTTATTACTAATTTCATTGTTTTGCCTGTAGTTGCTTACTTATGGCTGTTTATTAAAAAATTCAGGTCGGCCAGGCAGATACTTCAGCGCGGAAGAGGGGATTGTATGTGACGTGTTATTGAAGATGTGTATGTCCAGTAAATGTTGGTCTATATTACATACTGCTAACAGTGATTGTGATCATGGAATATGCCCAGATTTAATGTGTCGCAGCACTGACAAGGTCAAGATGTAATATGACATGTTAGGTGCTTCTAAATACGTAAATTTATTACGAGTATTATATTTTGAGTACAAAGGGCTTTTAAGCGTCCTTTTTTGTAAGCCGCATTTACCACACGCCGAGACAGTGGCCCGAACGACAGCCCATTCCAAAAGATACGTTGAAGATCTCTCCTGGAGCAAGAATCTACTATACAGAGAACGCAACAACATGTAATTTAAGTACCTACGTATACGAAAAGATATTAACTTTGATACAAAATATGGTGGACGCCCATCACACACCGTGATAATTGTAATAACAACATAAATTTCAAATTAATAGGGACAATTAATAAGTCATGGTTGGCAGACTCGGTGCATAAAAGCAATCATGAGGACGTAATTGGGTAGCGGGAGGTGCTGCCACCTAGCGAGGGCTGTCGGCCAACCGCGCGGAACATTTTTAATTACGAAGGCGCATCACTTCATTTGCAAATTTCAAACTTCATTTTCTTTGGTACGAAATGAATTAAAAGCGACTCAAGCTGGCTGTGGAGTGCGTTTTGTTCTGTCTCTCTTTAAATGTAAGAATGAACATTGTACTTGACGTTTCTGATCGTTAGTTATTGTTTAAAATAAGACTGGTTAAGTGAATATTGTTATTCAATAGGAAATTTAAGAGGACATTTTAAAAATCGTTCTATTTGTGTAGAGCTTTCCTAGACACTCTTTGTGGGCTCTTTCAATGATTCTGTTTGAGTCAGATTTAATTGTTAGACTTTCATTGTGTATATTATGAAATGAAAACTTAAAGCCTTTACTTCAATTTTAGAACATTATTGTCGAGTCAATGATTGTGAGTCAGTTTTCATTCAATACATTAAGAATGTAAAGTTTCGCATTCGATTTGCTTACCTTTCGATATGCTTTGAAAAAATTTCACAGGGTGAAATGATTTTGAGATACTTAATAAAAGATATATCATATTATAAGACCAAAAGTTTCCAAGTATATAGATGGTTGGATGTTTACAACTTTTTCACATTTCACTCTTTAACTAAATCTGTATAAAATTTTACACTTAAGGTTATAGTTGAAAATAATACATCGGTTACTTTTCACCCTGGAACTGCGGGCGAAGCCGTTGACAAAAAGTAATGTGAGTATAATTATTGGAATTTGAAGCAAAACAGGATAAAAGCATCTTTATAGATAGCTCATTGTGTTTAATGGTTAATGCTTATACCCTCATGGGACAAATACATTTGTTTATCTATAGCAAGTTCACATAATACCTATAATGGCATAATTCAATCATGTTAATGCACAATTTGCGTTCCCATGAACGGTTACCGTTATCAAAGTATTTGGGTTATTTAAAGAGGTCATATTTGGAACATAACATTGTTGCTGTAAAAAGTATTTTGTAGGTAATATTATATTACTCTCCAAAGTGGTAGCAGTATATTACCTATTAAGATATTTTTTACTTAAAAAAAATGATTTTCCGATACTATGATTCCTTAGGTAAGAATATGTATCAAACATTGTATCAACATACATAATACGCACATATTACTGTGATATTTTGAGTAAAATCTGGTTTTCCAGTTATATATTTATCTTAGACTAGCTATTCTTGTGCGGTTTCAACTGCAGCTCGGCTCAATTTAACCGTAGCGTGATGTTTTGTAGCCTATAGCACTCATTAACATTTTAGCTATCTATCAGAGAAAGAATTTTGGCAATCCGAACAGCGGTTCCAAAGATTACCCCCTACATATACCTAAACTTACAAACTTACAAATTTTACCTCTTTATAATATTAGTATAGATATATGTAAAATAACATCAAATGAGCTAAATTAACGCAGCTTCAATGTTTTCAAGATTGGAAGGTATCAGTCCCTATAACCTTTATTGCCTACATCATGGATCGGTTATATGAAATTCTGTTCGATCGACCAAGTTATGAGTGGTCACGAGACCAACGCAACAAACAGAATTGAAAGTGTAAACAACACACAAGTGTGAGACGTGGCGACGTGGTGACGTGTGACGGAAAACCGGCGTGAAACCAGTACACCGTTGTGTTTTGCCATGTGAGTGCCCTCCCATCTGCCCTTTCAAATCCTCCTGGTGTTGCGTATCACATAAAAAAGGATATAAGTACTAATATAGTAAATTTACCTTGATATAGTCGGGGTCTGGCATTTCGGGCTTCTCGTCATTGTTATTGTTGTTTATACTGGTGCTGTTGTTGTTGTTGATGTTCATGTTCATCCCACTGTAACAACACGAAAACAACTGTTTAGACACGTCCATATTCAACAGTTTTCAATTTAATGGTCAAAATACAACGTTAGTACAAGATTTTAGGGTTGGAAATTGATTAAGCGATGGGGAAGTTGATAACAGAATTAATATCATTGATATTACACAGACTACTAACTGTCAAGTAAGACTCATTTGTCAAAAAAAAACATATGTATAGGTTGCTTAAGTTTGGTAACTATGTTATAAGACCATAGAGCTTAAATTGTCTCGGATCAATATTATAAATTTTTAGATATCATTACAAAATGAGACCATACCCTTATCTCGCGTGGACCGACACGTGAATTTATATTAAAGATAAATTCAAAATAAAGAAATAATTAAAAACAAATAAATATACTAAAATTAAATACGTACTGTTTGCCAGAATTTTTAATTGATTTTTTTGTCAAATAAGATTGTAATACATCATACTGTAATAAGGTGAAATGAACTATAGTGTTAGGATCTGCTTAACAAAACTCTGCTTTACTTCTGGGTGGCCAGTACGAGTACCAGATATATTAATTTGAATAAAGAACGTGATTTGTTTATAGACTACTTATATGAAGGCGGTAAAAAGAGTCCCTTAAGCGTTTGTCTGAAAAGGTTTTAATCCATCAATCTGTTATGATCCAAAATATAGTAGTGTTACATATACTATATACATAGTTATAGATATAAACACTTTATATAATTACTATGACCTGGGCATAAAGCAATACCAACTACAAAAACGCTAAACTTTGTACCTAACTAAAGTTACTACTACTATGTATTATAAAAAACATGACCCATATTTTATATATAGGATTAATATATAATGTATTTTTATCTCAGAAAACCACTGCTAGACACTATTTTTAAAATAAATATGACTATGTTAAATACGTAGCGTGGGCAGCGGCTAACGCTGATAATCTATAATAAGATTACATGGCTGATATAAAAATGATTATTTTGTTAGTAATTTTTAAACCCAGCTTTCCCTGCATGTAGTTTATGTTATCAATGGTTCTATTATCATATTTATTCATTAGCTGAATTATTACATATCTGACACACAGCACAGTTATAACTGAGGTTAATTAAAAAAAAAATCGGTTAAGTAAACGTTTTAAAAATAAGGTTATAACAATTTGATGGCTGCTAATATTCTTGGATTATAAAAAATGGTAAACTTAAATATTATGTTCATTTATAAATGTATAGATGAAACGATATAGACAGACACTCCACACTGACAATGTCAATACACGTTTCAATAGCTTGTTTTCATTGACGACAAAATGTATGCACGCACGTAACTTTGGAATGGCTGTACGAAATTCGATAGTCATTTGTTTATTCAATTATTGTTAAGATTTAATGTTTTTCTGTGAATTAAAACACTAGAGCAAAACAATTGGGAGGCCCTCAAGTTAAGAATAAGAAATGGTTGTAATTGACATGTGTTTACTTAATAGTATACCTACATACATACGTATACATATGAGTGAAATACTATACATACAACTAAAACACGTGACCAAGAAGGAAAGCATACGAAAAAGGAACAAAGAAGAAAAATGAAAAAAAAAAGGTTATATACCGAATGATTCTAGAATATCCATAACAGTACCAGTTGCGCGATCGCGCGTCGCACTTGTCGACATCGTTATCATTGATAAAACCGTACATTGCTCGATTACACCACCTTATCACACTCGATCAACCAAACACTCGGAGTGAACTAACGTTATGACGTTCACATTATTAGGTACATCCATCTAAACATTTTTTTCGAATACCCGCAAAGGATTCAGTTTTGTCATCGCTTCGATGTTTTTAGTTGTATTATCTGTGGAATGAATATGTTTATTCATGTTGCATTTTCATCATGATTGAAATTAATTTTATACTCAAAAAACCTTGTAGATTTTTGCTGAGTTACGTCTCAAAGGATTATTTTAAGTTTAGATTATATTGTTGCTATTACTAAAATATTAAGGTATGTTAGTAATTTGGGTTGAATCTTTAAAAATAACCACATATAATTATCAATTATTTTTCTATTAAACTAATGTTTGCTAAAAATAATAATACAGTACAAACATTATTAACATACTTAAAAAGAGGTACATTGACGAAGCAATGAAGAAGAAAATTAAACCTTATTGTTTGGAAATAAGGGTTGAATGTTCAACTAACTTATGGTAGTTGTATCGTTGATATCGTTTATGCTAAATCTTTTATCGTCATCGTATCATAACCCCCATATAAAACAGACAAATAGTTTTTTTCGTGTGGTTTTATCAGTTCTTAGTTTGACGTGCATTGAAAAACTTAGTGACCCCATACAATAAAATACCCCACCCATCCGACAAAAGGCTGATTCCAGACATAACGACAGACAAATCAAACACAATACTCGCAAACTAAAAACCGGTAAACTCAGCTGCCTTACCAAACGATAAAACTGTACCCTACGCATTAACCCCTAATATCATTATCTTTGTTTGAAACCTAGCCTCGTTATCTAACCGTAATCTCTCGATCGATATTGATAGCAGAGGGGTATTACTGACAAAACGAAGGGTTATATATCTATTTTCAATATGTTTTATCATCTGCCTCCCTAGCTTATTGTCTGTACATATACATAAGTCTTATATAATTTTGGCTATCTTGGCTGAAATCGATTATGGTAACAATGTCGTTGGGGTTAACTTTAGTATCATTTGATGTTACATTTAATTTAATTTAAATAGGTACATTGTCACAGTGACACACTACAGACTAAATTAACTTATATTTTAATGATTATAATTTTAATTATAATTAAATCAGCTTAAATTAGACAAATCATTATATTAGTCATAATTTTTTTATTATAAAACTGTATTGAATCGTAATCAATCTTTGATTAAATAAAGAAAAAAAAAGTCTCATTTAGTTTTTGTATTGAACTAAGTTAGGGCCAAAATGTAGTCTTAAACGGATTCATAATTAGGATTATACACGAAATAACAACATGCATTTACAAGCAGATATGAAAATAACCATAACTAGGTCTGACTTCTATTGTTTATCGGTCAATGTTGTTTTCCCGTCCTTCGATGCCAGTAATGGCATTTTGCGACATGATCGCTCATTGCACATAATGTTTTATGTAGATGTGCATAAAATCCACTTTCGTAAAATTAAAGTGGTTGATTAAAAAATCTCAATTTCTCAATTTTGTTAGGTTTCGCTTCTTAGTAGGTACTGATACCAAACTACTTTCCAAGTATCTTCATATTCAGGGTTAAATATTTTAATGAATGTTTATTTTATTTAGTAAACCTATTTTATATATTTTCTCATGTACTCAAAGTAAAAACCGGAACCAAGAGGGTTCCTATCTAAGACTAACTACCCCCAAGACTCCGCCGTCAATCCGACTGTCTGTCTGTACTGCCTGGCTGTATCTGATGACTCTTGATAGCTAAACAGTTGAAGTTTGGGCATTTATTTTTGTTACCACTATAAACACAACCACATAAACAAGAGATAGTATACAACGAATGTACTAATTTTGGTAAAGAAAAATACGTTGCCGAGTTTGCATCACATACCGTCAGTTTTCTATTTGAAAGTGATAATATATATGTATAAGTTCCCACTGCTGAGCAAAAACCTCTTCTAACATGGAGAAGGTTTGAGCATTAATCACCACGCTTGCTTAAGGCGGATTGGTGATTTAAAACTTATCATTCGAAATTAAAAGACCAGGTTTCCTCACGTTGTTTGTAGTAATAAACTTTCCAATTTTCCAAGATTCTAGGTTCGCGACACCACAATCCAAATTTCATTCCGATACCAATACTCTCTAGACCATCTATCAACAATAACTTTTCATTATAAAACCTATAGGCAATGTGAGGCCACCCTTTGACCAAACACCATACAATAATTCCACGAACGCAATATCGAGAAACAAATCTCAGATGTGTTCCCTAGTCACCATACGCCACGGGGTTAGGAACTGACGTCACCAGAATAATAATATCTCGGTCGCATATTGTATTGTACCACCGTCGTATGTCGTATGTGTAGGGGTGGTAAATGTCAATATATTGTGATATCTCTCACATCCTCTAATGGGTAGGCAGGAGTCTTATTGAGGACATTTCGTCCGTAAGGTATATTTGGAACCAGCAACCCATCCCGGCTTCTCACGGGTGCCATACTAATACTAAATAATTGATGTTATGTACATACGAAAACCTTCCTCTTCAATCATTCTAGCTATTACAAAAACATTGCATCAAAATCCATTGCGTAGTTTTAAAGATTTGCGCATACGTAAGAATATAGGGACAGAGAAAGCGACTTTGTTTCATATTATGTAGTAAAGCAAACTGTTTTATGAAGAAAGTGGTTTCTATCGTTTTATTTTAGAAGTTACATAAACATTTAATGTATTTTGTTAATCCATATATACAACTGATTGTCCTTAACAATGTATATTTTATTTAAGAGGTGGAGAGCTATGCTTTGCCACAGTGCCGGCGTTAGGGGGAAGGGCGTGATGGGGCGATGGCCCAGGGCGACAAATTCTGTGGGGCGCCAAGGTCTGAAGTTGTAGTCTCTTGCCTCTCCTAGTGCAAACACCCTCAGAACTGTGCTCTACGTTCTGTGCATATGCAATTTTTGATTTTACTTAGGATCAGATCAAAAATGTAACACTTGATATTGCTTCCCTCAAGTTGGCACCACGATATTTTCGCTCGGGGTGTCAGTGGTCCTTACGCTGGCACTGCCTGCAATAAGCTGTCTCAACCATAATGATACAACGGCCTCACAGAATAATAACGTTAAGCAAAGCTTGCGTTGCCAAGGTATCCAAAGATTTTTAATTCAAAAAACACGCCGTGCCCTTAATTACACATCCCTGTATACAGTAACTTTTCTACTTGAACAACTAACACAATGCTATTCTCATCTCATATACAAAGTATGTCATTATAATAATCCACATTTTTACATACAACCTAATCCGTTTTAATCTCAAAAGGCGCCTACAGCCTGCATGATACATAATTTGATCAAAATAGATGATATCTAGGCCACACAACAAGTACCTACATACGTATGTAGGTACCTATATGACTAAGAGCCACCAAGCGGCCATTTAAACAAATGCTCAGATAACAATGTATGTGTTGCATGCATGTGTATGTGTTTATGTGTGTAAGTTTGCTATCACGTATATCATTCAACAGTGATATCGTAATATGTAAGCGACTGTTTAGATTTCTGATAAAATTGTTTTGTATCAAGAATTTGTAGTGAATTTTCAAATATGTTTGGTTTTTTAACGTTTATATGATTGCGGAAATAATTCTACAACAAATAGACTTAAACGTATTTAAAACTGATAGAGAAACAAAAATCGTTTGTACCAACTCTGAAATGTCAATAAATTTATGAGTAAAGCTAGAAAATATAGGACATTTTCATCCATCAAAAGAATAGTTTTGTTACTAACTAAAGTAGACACAAAAATGTAAAACCATTACTCGTATAATATCGGTATAAGAATCCCTCCCACCAATAGTTTAACACGAGCCAAAACGAAAAAAATAATAATATAGGTAAACTAAACCCACAAGTAATAAGAGTGCTCTAGTAATTGCCAAAGCTACCAGTAATGGGTCTATTATTCAGAGGATATCCTAAAACTACTAAACGACTACTACTACCACCCCACAAAGGAAACCCTCACCTGACAATGTCTAGAAAATAACAAAATAGTTCTAAGCCTAAAAATGGGTAAAAGAATATTATTTGACTGACTTTACTTAACCTAAACCCTTACCAATTGAGTAAAAAGGTCAAGTAGAAAGAGGTTATTTATAAGGAGGTTAGTTTTCGTTCTTCAGATTTTTCAATAGTAACATTATATATTTCTGTATCCTTAGCACGTTAACGTTAAGTTACGAATGCCAAAATCACTACATATAGGTAGTATTATAAAACAGAGTCGCTTTCTCTGTCACTATTTCCCTTGATGAATTTTGAAAACTACGCAACAGATTTTTATGCGGTTTTTATCTATCTATACTTCTATACTAATATTATTAAGAGGTAAAATTTGTAAGTTTGTATGTAGGGGGTAATCTTTGGAACCGCTGCTCGGATTGCCAAAATTCTTTCACTGAAAGATAACTACAAAAACATTACGCTACGATTAAATGGAGCCGAGCAGCGGGTGAGACCGCGCGAGCATAGCTAGTAATAGATAGGGTGAAATGTGCAAAACGGGGTCGTTAGTTATTAATATTTGGTTGTTTGAACTTCATAAGCTCTAAAACTACTGAACATATTGTAATAATACATGAATTATGTATTATTCAAACGCTGTTAAGGAAGGACCATAGGTTATTTACTATAAATATTTCTTTCAGCAATTATTTCAGATAAAAATATCAAAATCCCAACCAAACGATGCCGCAGACAAATTGTTTGTAGATTATAATTTTGGGCGTAAGTTGAGTATCATGACGTCATTGATGTGAAGTCATGAGTGATGACGCAGAGAGGGTTTATGCTTCAGTAAACAGATTATTCGTTGATATTATATTGAATATCGGAGAAATGAAATGTGTTTTATATGAAAAATAGCAGAATTTTCAACGCCAAAAAAAAACATTTACCATTGCAGTACATGCAAATCATACTGCTTAGCTTTTTGAGCATTTTTTTGTGTAATGTGTAACTAATTTCCTATATTGTTAAATAGCAGCATTAACTTTACAATAAATGATAAAAGAAAATAAAATAAAAAGGCAACGTGTATAGACATAACAGGATTAGCAATGATTACAAATATGGCTGTCATCATGTTGTCAATATATCAAACATAGCGCAAGAATAAAGTGGTTGATAAACGTATTGAACTAATATGAAAACACGCAACAAACAAAAATAACAAAACACATTTATATACTTACAGAAAAACTAGTACCTCAAAAATAGAATTCTAGTTCTAAGTAAAAGAGATTTAGCGATATTAAACTTGGTCACAATAGGACCAAATCTCACCAAACATAAAGTAGAAGTACTTTATGATAAAGTGAAAATTAAGGCAATTAAATTTAAAGTCATCAATCACACAAACACTTATCTAGGGACCCACAATATTTAACTTTAAATCTACATATTGGACAGCAAAGAAAATGCTCCATCCAAGCCATACGAATTCTTGAAGTATTTATTAGTAGCAAAACCAGAAAATTGACCAAAATGTGTTGCAGTATTACTAATCACCCACAATTATATTTTTAGTCAAAAGATGCAACTGAGTCATACATACATAAGCCAATAAGTAGTCACAGATGAATGAGTTAGCGAGAATTTGACCGAATGCAGGTGAAACAGTAATTCCAAGTAAATTGTTTGAATATTTTAAACTGAAAAATTGTTGCTACCGAAACTAGTATAAGAATAATAGCTGTAGTGATGCCATTATGTAACATTTAGATGATTGTTTAAAGAAAGTAAAACTGTGCAGGCGCATTTTGAAGACACTATTTTTCAATACAAACCATGTGCATACATCATATTATTATTATGTAATGTGCAACAAAACATTACATAGGCGGACTTAATGCCGTAGGCATTCTCACCAGTCAACCTTAGGGTGATGCAGAGAGAGTATGGTAGGTGCAACAACAAGAAGAGAACTTTGAGAAGATAAATTAAGATTTAAAAATACAACAAAAACACTAAAATAAATGAATATTTAATAATATAACCATCTAAAAATAAATTAAATTTTGTGTGTCTTTGACTACATTTTATAAGCAAGGCAGTTGACAGTGGTTGCAAGTAAAGAGCTTGAAGTGATTGAACTCGGTGACAGAACAGTACAGGACGGGAACTGACTGCAGATGATTGTAAAACTGATTCATATTGATAATACCATCCTAACACATTCAAATAATTATCAAGACGAAACGATTAATAATTTAGACCGAACAATCAATCAAAACGAAAACACAGGCCAATAATTCCAAACACAAAATCTTTTTCATTCTTTCTCATCACAAGTTTCAGTATTTCTTAATATCTCGTCCAGTTTTGGCAACAATTCACTTCAAAAGTTTAAACTAAAATAGTAATAAAACTTAGCGCGTCTATCCAGAAATTCGACGATTCATCAAAACTGTCGAAATGCTTGCCAAATTCTGAGGGAGCAAAGTTTCAAATCTGTAATACATGGCAACATTGAACTTTCTTACTAGGTAAGTAATATAAATGAGAAACTGGCAACTTTTGGTAAAGTATGATGGATTAATTGGAGCATTTATAGATGTAGCCGACTTTTGTAAACTGTAAAACAAGAAAATGTAATAAAAAAGCACTGAAAAATTGAGCGTAAAATATTCGAACAGGAAAAAATATCGTAAAGACGTGCTCTTAAGAAGCAGTGAAAAGGGACCAAAGGACATTTTATGTAAATAAATCAACATTTCGGATTAATTAAAAATGGCCAATCTGCGACCATTTATTTCTCTTGCATTCAGTCATCTACCCACCCTCTCAACAAAATCTCCCAAGGGTCACACGGTTGTTAATTAAAAATTAGGACCCCAAAAATTTACAACTTAAGAAATATATGTGATACTGGTTATAATGCTTCACAAAAAAGCCTTCATCGCAACCTACACCTACATTTTAATAGGTTCTTTAGATAATACAATACGACTACCTATTATAATTTGCGTGTTATCAGATGAAAAAATATTTCACTATCATCGAAAACCACGTGTTGAAGTTATAAATAATATCGTAATTATGGAAGTAAATCAGTGCTGGTATTTGCTTTTTAACTTTATAATAGCTATTTGGAAATGTAAATGAGAATACGAATCGTATACTGAAATATGGAACCAAGAAGCTGATGATGCAAATATAGTGTCTCATGACAGTTGTTGCACTAAAGAGGGCTAAATATGTAGCATTTGAGAGGTGAATAATATTATTACCATGCAAGGAAAAATGAATAACAACAAGAATCTAAGTATCAAGATTGATGATGTAATGAAGGCAATGCTTGAAGAGCATGATCAAATATGTACATTTACCTGGCAGCCATTAAGACACAGTTTCATAAACAGATACTAGACTCAAATTGGATCATGAATCCGTACTTACAAGATTCGAAACAGTAATGGCTGGAGATAAGGCAGGCTTATAACCTAACCACTAAGGATTGGACGATCATAGTGCAGAAAACTACCTACTTACCTAACCTTATCTTTGAAGTGTATTTTGTCTTATATTATTTCAAAAGGAATATTACAATAACTGATATCACCACGTTATTATATTGTAGCACAAAAGATATTGTTATAATACTGAACACAATTCAAGCAATAAAATCCGTATCCACACCTATTTCTATTTCAGCAACGTTCCGTAGTGCAATCTCACCTGCTTTATCACTTTCATTTAAATAGAACGAGATGGCAATAGTTATTTTAAAAATAATGTTGTATAGGGTGTTAATTTTCCGGGAATGACTTTATACTCTATTGAAAGATAAGTTTATAGTTTTGCGCATTATGAAGGTTGCACTCTGAAATATTGCAGAAAAACTGTTATGATTGCATTAGCCGATATAACTTAAAACTACACTTACTTCGGTTTGCTGTAGGGCGACGATGGTGATGTCTTGTGGTTGTGGTTCTTGTTCGGCTGCGTGTGTCTATTCGCATTTGTGTCTAGGCCGCCGCCCGGGGATATTTTGCCGGCGAGTGCGTTCAGTGTATGCAACATGGCGGGCGGCGGCCGCTTAAATCCAAGCGACCTGGTCACACTGATGAGTCGACCACGTTTGTCGAGACGGTGCTGCTTGGGAGCCACGGCGCCTTATCTCCTGATAAGAGGCGCGGGGGCACAGACGCCCCCCGCCTCATCTCCACCTGACAGTCTCACACACGCACTCACACTCACGCGCAACGTAAATGTTTGCACTTCTAAGCGATATGGGTCAGCGTCCTGTCCGATCTATACATGGTTTTGGCATTTTTTCATTACTATTTTAAAGTTATTTTAGCACTGGTTTTGTACACGTGTCACTTAGTTTTTTATTTCACTGATCTGTTGGATTTAAAAATGCATTTTGAGTCATTGTTGCGATGTTATGTAGTTACAATTTCGGTGGATTTCGTAGTTAAAGTGATTAAAAAAATAAAAGTTTAGTAACATAGAAAAAGAAGTATAATAATAGTTTAATTGTAGATTTTTCTCTTTGACTGGTTTTGTAATTTTATTCTCATTGAAGAATTTAATATTTTGTTCTTTTTACACAATATAAAAGGAATCAAAGCGTGTAAACATGATTTCCAAGTCAAATATAATATCAAACAATATATATCGTAGCGTCTACAGGATTACCGAAAAATATGGCTTCTAAGGTGTCAGATTTACAAACGCCTGAACAAAAACGTAAAGCAAAAAGAAATATATCCGCGCCTCGTAATGAAATATGTGACCGCAGGCGGTTTGTGAAAGCCTTTATTGTTTTTCTTTTTTTTCATACATTCAAAGAAAATGAAAATGTCGTCAACTAAGCTTATGACTTTAGATTGTTACTTTTATTTTGGAATAAAAAAGTTTCAATTTATTTTGTATCAAACATCACGGTCACGGCGACGCCAAAGGCCTGTTCATTTAATCAAAAAACAATCATAATGCTAACATTTAAGAGTTATTTCTGTTTAATTGTACATTATCTTCAGATACAGAGATGTTCCAATGTTAATGGAGAACCTATTGGTTGACAACAAACACACGAGGCCCACTAGGGCGCAGACATGTCAATTCAAACGAGTCCCCTGGGCCGACCGGTCGGTCCGCGTTGACCCGCTACACATATTGAGACATCGCTACATCTACACTGTGTCAACTAATTAACTGTAAGGGTTGCTGTTCACTTGTGAAACTTGTAAAGACATTTTACTAAATGTATAGTAATTTGAAAATTTTTGCCTTTTCTACGACCACAAAAGAAAACTTACTGTACGGCTACTATATGGTAAGTTAGTGCGAAAATATTTTGCATTTTTTTAATTCAAAGGAATTTGTAATTTTAAACTGAAAATCACCAACGCCAGGCTAGATGGGTAAGCAGATCAAAACAAGTAATAAATATTCAAAATAATCTCGACCTCAAATTCACCATTATAAAGGAAAGTTTTAATCATTTTCGGCTGAAATATAAGCACTTGGGATTTATCTAAAAATAATATGTAATCCAGGCGATGAAATCAAACAGCGACACGATCGGCTGAGCGATAAGCCTACAGATATTTGTACAGACCGTCCGTGTGTGTACAAATGTGGGATATTTTGTTTATAAACGCACCCACGCCACAACACACTGCCGTTTTTATTAGAATTCCTTTTGATTCAATCAATCGGAAAGATCAGAGATCATGACATTAAAAGTGTTGTTCTAGGAAGTTAAATAGTAATAATTATCGTTGCTGGCAAAATATTGACCTGAATGAATATGGTTTTCAAAATTATTAATTTATTGATTATTTTGTTTACTGTCTGTCTAGTTATTATAAACTTGTCAGTAGCGTGCAGTTTGGAATTATTATTATGTTTGGTATATGGCACTAGTTTCACTCCTTACATAGGCGGTTTGTAAGGTACAATTTTGCCTAAACCTTTTAGGATTAAAAGGCAAGATATCATATATATCTTTAGCCAATAAATGCATAAATACACTTAATCTTTGCAGTGTAAAACGCGCCTTAAGGAGAACACAATCAGTATAACTTATCGGAGGCTGCATAAAAGTATAATCAACCGATTACGAGGCATCGGGCGTAAGCACATGTCCCGGTTTGGGGAAAAATTCGGGTCGTGGGACGAAATAAAATTAACTGAAACACAAATTGCTATGTGCGAGATCCAATTTGGGGTAAAACGTTGTTCATCTGTCTAAATTAGGCTTAATTACAGACCATTGGCATTATGATTGGGATTGGCCGGTACGGAGGTTGCTGGGAATTTGTCAAAGGGGTATACATATAAATATAGCGTGGGGCTTGCTTAGTGGCTGATGACCAAGTTGAAAGTATTGATTAATTTCTCAATCAATGAAATGTAGCATGGTGGCATAGGGTGGTGTGTATTATCGTAATCGTAACCTATATTTTTAACAAATACATAAATCAGGATGATGTGTTGAAATATTAAACAATATTTTTATAGGTTAGAAGGCAACCGTGCCGACATATTATCTGATCAGTAACACCAGAAATAACAATAAGTAATCAGTTACGATTTAATTTGATATAAATCCCACTTTATACCTTTAAAAACATCACTTGAGATTACAGAGATCTGAGAATCAATATAAATAGCCAAAATAACCCAAAAGCCTTGACCACAAATCCTCAACGCTGTAACAACAAAACCCTGTTCACTAGATCCGTTACGCACACATCAGCGACCTTTTATGAGTACTTACTTGAGCGCAGTCACAGCACAATAACACGTTATAAATACAACAATAAAATCATATTTTACGTTTATTTTTATTAATGTGATGTTCGTAAAGGGCTGCCGTTTCATGTGCATATAATATATTTAATAAATTTAGTACTGATTGTTTTAAAAGGGGTTTAATTGAATATTGTTTATTTGTTTTTAGTTTGACTAGAATATACAAATAATTGATTTATTTATGTGGATTTCTTGTATGGTAATAAAAATGATGTTTGATTTTCAGAACGTACAGTTTTACCATATTTATACATTTTATTTGTACCGATTGGTAACTTGGATAAAATAAAAAAATTGCAGATAAATCTGCTAAAAGCTGATTCAATATAAATTACGCAAGTACTTGTAATAATGTCAGTTTCGTAAGCTCTTTACTGAGTAATTCCATATAATACCAAAACGTTCAATATCGAATACCCAAACAGAATCGTTCGCATTGCCAAAAAGGGGCGAAAAAGCAAACGAAATCATATTACCATTAATAAAAAAAGTATCCAAACGTTCTAATACAAAACCCCGGAATTTATCCGAGACATTAATGTGCCATTTTTGTCGGTAACATTCGCATAACGCGGCCGGCTTTAGATTTGTTCCGCTACGGACCCTAATATTAATTCCATTATCATAATTCCACACTTAATACTTTCCACAGAGGGTGGTGAACCAAAATCTTCGTGTTTTTGTTTCCGTGCCAAATATTTTATTTATTTGTGTACTACGAGCTTGTAGTTACAGAAGGGCTGGACTTAAATGTTAATCTACATGTTTTTATTATCATGTTTTTTATTCTATTCCAATTTCAAAGGACGAAGTAAGAAAATTTTGTTAAAATTGTTGTATGCAATATTTAAAATATTCTACCGTTATACACGGTCACTAAAACTATTCTCAGAAAATTCCGAATTATCGAGTCGAGCTTAAGTTCGTAGCGCTCGTAGCTGCGTAGTACGCGTAGCATGCCTACGCACTAAGTAACCGATTTTTTCTTACTGCGTTTAATAATAAACGTGTGAAATGAATGTTTTATTATTTAACCTTCTGTATCTATATCTCGAGAGTGTTCATTACGCCTTTAATTCCACGAAAGATGTCGAGGATGGCTTGTTGTTTTAAAGTTTTATGAAACAATTGTTACGTCTGATGGTGAAGCTTGCCAAATTGTTGCTTTAAGTATCCTTGCTTGTTTATAGTACCAAAACATTGTTGTATCATGAATATCTTTAGTTTGGCATCTGATTTGCTAATTTAGGCCTAGCTTCAGTTGATGCTTATGTTATTCATAGAACGATTAAGTGTAGTACCATTATAAAAATATATTTGTTACAAGCTTGTAGCTTATGAGTTTCCTGAAATATGAACCAGATTATAACTACGTAAAATATTAAACATTTTACCATTGAATACAAATTAAAAACAAAACCAGCAGAAAATCTAAAAGTTGAAGTTTGAACAACCTTTACATCCTGAACAATTTCATTATAATATTAAACGCTTAAACATCGACTGATACAAGAAGCTAGGAACAAAATCCCTCGACGTTTACCTATCGCAACACTTATTTGCAATAAACTTTTGCTTCGGAACCTTTTCTACATAGTTATCGAAGCTTGGGGAGATATTAATCCTTAGAAAGCGATGATCTGAGTCTCCCAAGTTACACAAAGGCTGCAACCGTTTTGTGCTAAGCTTGTGCTTACCGTACGTCCGGATGTCCGTCCGGCTTTTTAATTTATCCGGGATCTTGGTAAAATGTTTGCAGTGTATAGCTGTGGTAAGATTAAAATGAGAGGTACTTTTGTAGTGCGTCGTGCATCAAGATTCGCGATTTTTGGATCGTAGATTTAAAATTTATTTTATTTATTATTGGTAAAAAGAGGGTATTTTAGTTTTTATAGCGATTATTTAAACTGTCGTTAGCAAAAACTATCATTTTATTGAAAGTCTTAGTTTAATTTATAAAATTGTGTAAAATACATACATAAAACATTAATGTCTGGTGATTACTTCTACTAACGAGTTAAGTAATGAAGTAGTTAGTGTAAAAACCCTGTTTAAACTCTTATTAAGTATGCTTTATGCAAATGTAAATGAGAAGATACTTTTACATTACGATAGATAAATCTTTTTGTTTTAATATACATTGTCATGTGTCTAGGTGGGCAATACGGTATTTTCCAACTAGTCAAATTCAATACTTTTATCCAAACGTCAAAAACGATACATTTTTATGAAATTTGTATGAAAAACTGAGCTATGACGTCATAACATTTTTGCGTCAAATAGCTTATTGCGTCAAATAGCTTACTTATTTCACAGTAACTAGCTAAAAAAAAATCTA